AAAAAAAAAAAAGACAGAATGTTTCAAAGATGATAACATGATCATTTTGGAAAAAAACCGATAAAATAAATTAAACGAGACACAAAAACCAAACTCGGGCAAAGAATGACTTAAGACCAAAAAGAAAAAAACAAAAAGCAAAAACATCGCCATTATGATACATTATTTTGTTTCATTAACACACATACACACATTATTATGAGTTGAGTCACTGTTCTTCGCAAATATAGTATAAAGAAAAAAACAATAAAGGAATGTGTTGGTGGATGGGTGTATATATATATACTTTATAAAGAAATTATTGCATGTATCGAGCGGAAATATAAAATGAATATGCACACAACAATAATTAAGGATAACACTATTAAATAGAAGATAAAGAGAAAAAAAGAAAACTATAGATAATGATGCTACTAGAAAAAAAAATATGAGAGAGCAAAATATAGCAGTAAGCTGTTGATTTTAATTTTGCATTTTGACATGCACACACAATGTGATTTTCTAAGAAGAATATATATATTGCACACATACAAAAAATTATAAGATAAAAGATATTGAGAGATCTAAAGTAATACAATAAAAGAACAAAATATGTATAATGACTGTTCATAGGAAAAAAAAAGGTTTTCTTTTTTTGTTTTAATCACGATTTCTTCGATGCAAATGGCCACCATTCAGCTTTTTCTTTTTGTTTTAACATAACTTTATGTGATAAAGCAGCAAATTGTTCAGCATGTTCATTCATTTGTTTTGATGCCGTTTCAACTTCACTTAATTTTTGACCACGTTCAATTAATTTCTAACAAACAAAATAGAACAAATGTGATTTAAGTGCTTTCTGTTTTTGATTTCTTAGTGGAACTTACATTTCGTGTATCAGCAACAATATTAGTAGCTGAATCAACTGTACCACGCATTCGATTCATATTAGCATTAACATCTTCTTTTTTAGCAATACCAAATGGTGCTTTACCAGCAGCTTCACCAACTTGAATAAAAAAAACAAGTCATCTATCTTTGTTTTTTAAAAAAAGAAAAAGAAAAGCAACACTCATACATAATTGATCTGAATCGATAAGTGTATTTGAAGCAAAAATTTTAGCAAAAAAATTCTGTTTTGGTGCTTCAGGCATTACTACTGATGGATCGTACAATTCACAAAGCATTTCATTGACTTGTTCTCTACAAAAGAATAAATGTAAATTAATTCATACAGTTACATTAACTTCCCCTCCCTCCTCCTCGCAAGAATAAGAAGTCATGGACTTCTATTCTGTGATGGAGAGAGGAGGCATTATTTGAACTTACTTAACATCTGAAGCGATGCTGAGTTTTTGAATTTCTGTTGGTGAACACATAAAAAGTCCATGACCTCGATCAGTAAATGTACATGTCAATGCAACTAATGATCTATATTTTATCAATCAAATATTAAAATAAATATTTTCTTTTTCATATTTCTTACCGGAATGAATCAGTAATTGTATCAAGATTTGTAATAAATAATTCACGTAAACTAGGTAAACTGTACACATGTATACGACCACCAGATAAATAACATGTTAAACAATAAGAACCTAAGTAGGTTTTATTATAAATAAAAATTTATTGTATAAAAACCAAAAATATATTCATTTTAATCTAACCTGCTATTTTAATAACAGCTGCTTGAAATACATTTGATGCTGATGCACCAAGTGAATCATAAATTTTTTGTTTTGATATACAAATTTGTGATGGTAATGCAACAACCTAAATATAATAATTAATAATTAAATATGTTTTAAATAAATTATTATATTAAATATACTCGAGCTTGTTTTGATGAACAAAAAACAGCATATTGTATATTATTTGATGGAGTACCTGTAATTTGGGAAGACGTTAAATTACTAGTTGGTAATATTGATGATGTATTTAAATCTTGTGTACCATCTGTTGATCGATTTGGTTTTGTTTCTGTACATAAGAAAAAAAAGTCAAAGCAATGTGAATATTAAGTATTTCAAGAAAAAAAAAAGATTTACTTTTCGTATCCCATTTTTCACTTGGAGGTGGTATTGGAACTCCTTTATTATCAAGAAATGAAAGATGTAATAAACGGCCAAATAAACGAAATACACTTCCACTAGGTACAACTAAAAATTTAAAATACGAATCTTCTTTAATGAATAGTCGAATAAAACTTACCGCTTATATTTCGAGGCTCATAAGTTATATTTAAATTAATAACAAGTACACAACCTGTACTTGTACCAAGCCAAACACTTGGTAAAAGTGTAAAATCTATAAAAAGTGAAGACAAACAAAATCAATTCGTATTTTCTTTCTCTTATAATACAAAACCATTTTTATAAGTAAATGATTCGGAAAATTGTATAGCGCATACACTTTCATTTGAAATAATATTATCCATACTTGAACTACTTGTTGAACGTGGAAGATCAATAGTCGTTGATTTATCTATACAGATAATAAATATTAAAAAAATTAAATCATATAAAAAACAAAGTATAATTTCATATAAGTTAAATTTTAACTAAACAATCATGCATAAGAAATTAAAAGCTAAGCAAACATAAAAATGCATATTAGTGAATCAACAACACTTATTTTGAAAAAAAATATATGTTGTTTTTTTTTATTACTTTCTTCTCTACGATAATAAGCAACGTTATGTACACATATATACGAATTTACAAGAAGACCCAAAAATTATGAAAATATTTTCTTTTCTTTTTCTTTCGAACTAATGAAAAAACTTACAAACAGTAGAATTGATATCAGACATAGCCTGAGATCGTTTTTCTATTAGTGACGAAGCAGTAGGAGGTGAAGATTGCTAGAAGAATATAGTGAAGAAAGAGAAATAAAGATGCTAGTAGAACAAAATTGATTAGATTATGATAATACAACTAATCAATAAGATATTAATTTTAAAGTCAGATTAATGAAAAAGAATCTGAGTTTTTAAAATACAGATTAATCTTCTTCATGAAGCAATTAATTATAGAAATTGCGTGCAAGAAACAAATAGATTAAAAGAAACTAAAAGATAGCGTAGAGAACATGCCCGTTCTTAATCGAATGTGAATAAAATTGATTAAGAGGGAGCGCACCCTTATTATTAAATAGTGTTAATGTGTGATTATGATAGCTTGTGAAAGATGTTGATATTGAATGATTACTTGATGATGTTATTGTTGTTGATTGTTGATGATGATTATCATCATCTTTACGCAAATCAATCATATGTGCTTTTCGTTTATGAGATTTATCACGCATATGTTCTTTATATTCAAGTGAACATGTACCACGTAATTGAGCACGTGTAAATGTTGATGTTGTCCAAGTTTTTGATAGATTTGTATTATCATTATTATTTCTATTATTATTATTATTATTATCATTTTTCTCATTAAAATCATTTGTATTTAATGATGATGATGTTGTAATTGTTGGTAGTAGTCTTTCTGCTGGTAATGATCGATGTACTTTCAATGATGTTGCTAGTGTAGGAGGAGTATCTGTTAAATCTGGATTTGATGTTGGTATTTCTGAAAATGATAAATGATGAAATTCTTCACCGGCACTACTTCCTCCACTTTCATCACCACCACTTTTTAAAGTATTATCTTTTTCATTTTGTTGTGTAGAACTTCTACGATTATTAGCAGATTCTTGTTTATGTGAAGTTGATGGACGTGATAAACGTTTACGAAGTGTACGAATTGTTTTTGTTAATGTTGCTATACTTGGTGATTTTTCTCCATGAGGAGTATAAACATTAGCTCCTTCTTCTTCTGTTGTTTGTTCATTACCAGACATTGATTCAATTGATCGTGAACGAAAAACTGATATTGGTACATGTTCATTTGGCATATTTTGAGATGGAATTGGATTGGATGGTTTTGCACGAAGTTTATTTGACATCTGTCCAGTATTATTAGATGCAAAAGGATTTTTTGTTAATCCTGGTTCAGCTGTGTGTGGAAGCCTTAATGGTTGGTGCTAGATAGAAATAGTTTTATTTTTCGATTTTTTTTTCAAAATTTAACAAAAAAAAATCCTAAAGAAATAAATTAATAAAACAAAAACAAGAATGTTTACTTGATAATCTGTAGACGGTGTATCATCATGATTGGAATCATTTGAAGTACCACGACGTCTCGGAGATGTTGTTCGTTGAAATGGATCCATTGTACCATAAAGATCACTAGTTGCCATATTCATTAAAATAGATTTACTTAAATAATCAATAACAACAAGACCGTTCTCCAATCCAAGTATTAACCTATTGATAAAACAAAAAAAAAAAAAATTAAAAAAAAAATAAAGTTTCATTTTTCTATACAATCCATATTTTGAATTAATTGATATATCAGTTAAAACAGGTATTTTATCACTAGGTAACCATGATAAAAGACAAACAAGTTCAGGTTGATAACCAGCCATTCGACGATAACCCATTTTTGCTCGAAGTAAACTTTTAAAGTCCTAGGTAAAAAGAAAAAACACAAATTTTCATTTTTATAAAACACGATCTAAAAGAAGTGTTGAAGTATAGGGATAAAGATTTGAATCCTTTCACCTCAGACTATGACAGTCACTTCTTACGAGAAAAGTTTCCTAAGTGTGATTCGTCAATGAAACCCATCGAGTCTCAAATTTTTTGGACCCAAACCAATCCGACGGGCTCTACTCGACAATTGAACTAATCTCCTACCTATAAGTAGGTCGCGATGAGCCTAGTAGAAGTCAATAAGGGTTTGTCTTCGTGCTCTGTCCTTCCTAAGCTATTACATTTTTACTGAATTTCTTACCTCTGGTGCAAAGTATTTATGACAACATTGATTTACTAAATATCAGTCTCAAAATTTACCGATAGAAAGGTTTCATAGATATTAGAATGTTCTGAAAATTTCAGCTTCAAAAGGATCTGTTGTTCTTGAGCTGAAATTTCCATTACATTATAATGTCCACGAGAGACCAACCAATAGGCTAAATTTCAAACTGAAATTCCATCATTTGAGCTTGTCACAAATATTTTACCGGAAATTGAAAAGAAATTGTAACAACTGGAAAAAAACAGCGCATGGGAACGAACTTATAGGTTTCTACTAGTCTTATCAGAGCCTGCGTATGGACAAAATGTCAGTTCGATTAACGAATCACACTTGAAGATCGTCCTTCATAAGAGACCATCACAGATCATCGTCTTATTATAACATGTAAACTCTTTCCTTATTGCATTTCTAGAGAATAAAGTAAAAGCATGGCAAAGAAATGTGTCTCAAATAGAATAAAACAACCTTCCTGTGATTAACAACAGCAGCTACATTATGTTTCACATTTTAAACTCGTTGAAATTGTGCTAATAGGTTTCTTTTCCTATAAGAAAGAAAAACTCGATCTAAAATTTACTTTTTTCTCTGTATTTTGTCTCGATAATGATGATTGTAAATCATTTATTGTTGATAGATTTCCACTTGTATTTATATCATGATAATCATTTGATGAATTTTGATGTAAAATTGGAATTTCTAACCATGATAAATCACCTAATCCTTCATCAGCTTTATCTAATTCTGAGCCAGTAAATTTAAATAATGTAATATGACCACCACGTGCAGCAGCTATTAAATATTTACCATCACAGCACATTTTTATTGAATATATTGCGAATGGATATTCATAACCATTTAATTCATTTGATAAATTTATTGAATTAAATTGTTGTTGAATTGATTCATCACCTACATTACTATTTGCACGTGATGTTTTTGTATCAAATTTAATATTTGTATTTGGATCTTTTCTATTTGATGTTGAAGATAATGTATTTGTCGATGATATTGGATTTGTTATTTGTGTACGATCAAATAAACGATTTGTACGTAATTTATATAAAAATAAAAGATTACAACCGGATGCATCCCAAAATTTAATTGAACCATCAGCGTGACTGAAAAAAGCAAAAAAAAAGAAATAAATAGATAAAATATATATATATATATATATATATATATTGTTTACCCAGTAATAATAAGTTCATTGTATCCAAATATAGTCGAACCGGATTTACCACCTGATACTGGATTTTCCTTCAAAGAAAATACATTGATTAGAAATTTTTTGAGAATTAAAATATGACATAGAATGGAGTAGCCGTTGTTTTTGTAAATCAAAAATATTTAAAGATTTGAAATTTTGTATTATTCCATATTTGATGACGTAAAATCTTAGTCTCAAATTAAAGTAGCAGTTCTAGCACAGTCCATAGCTTGTATCTTAGAATAGCCTTCAACTCAATATTATTATAGAGCATGCGTTTCCATCAAAGAACTAGTATTCATTTCAAAATATAATGTATCCAACTATTTTTAGAATAACTTTGGATAGGAACATCATAGAAACCTTTAGTTTTCATTATTCAAGAGAGAAGACTAGGAGTCATCAAAATGAGATTGGTTAGCAATTGACCACTCAGGTGAATTCTTGGTGGAGATTTTCGAAGACAATATTCTGAAGCTATTTTTCTTTTGATCTACACAAGCTCCACATTCCTAACTTGTTTCTTTTGAGAGTTATAAGATAGTTCCCGAGATTCTTAGTTTCAGCCAATTGACTTGTAGTCATCCAGAAAAGTAGGGAGACAGGGGTAACCCCTACCATGCTCAGTCGAATGATGATAATTGTTTTTAGATTTGAAAAAATCTGACACTTTTATCTTAGTATTTTCGAAATATCGACTCTTTCGTTACATGGAGGTTGATTGTGATTCGAATCTAAAAATAAATATTACCATTCGGCTCAAAATGATGTATTACCCCTATCTAGCTACATTTTCGGGTGATCACAGATGAAATAAGTTATTTTGTAGAGAAAGATTACGGCTATCATCTAAAAGAAGACATTTCGAAATGCATAAATATAGCACAATATTGTGGTCATTTTGCTAATCTTAAGTGAATATTTATTGAGAAAAATTTTTAAAACAATTTTTAATTATCTATGTGTTTTGTTCACAGAGATTTTTTTATCAAATTTATCATTTCAATGAAATAATATTCATCATATTTAATGATAATTATTGCAGTTGTATAATACTTCATATTGACGGTCTTATTTTATAAAGTTTACTATTTCTAATTTATTCTCTAATATGCCAATTGCTTGGTTTAATCTTTTCGATAGTTTTATTAAAATACTCTCCAGCATTTATTTTACAGACAAATAGGTAATATATAATCAATAGAAAACTTATGTGGTATCATTCAACAAGATTTAAGTAAATATAAAGGTGTCAAACAAAAAATTAGTAATATAATTTTAGTGTAGAAAAATATGAGAAAATGATTAATAATATTTCAAAAAGGTTAAAAGTAATCATCTGACAACAAGGTCAACGCGTAACAAAATTTGATTATTGATATTTATACAAAATGTCAATCCGATAAACTTATAAATCATTGGGATATTTTATTAACAAAAAAAAACCAAAACAAATTTTAATTTTTCTCAAAAAAAAAGTATTCGCTCAAGATTAGTAAACTAACCATAATATTGTGCTACATTTATACATTTCAAGATAACTTTTTGTTTTCAAATGATACTTCTAATCTAAATTACAATTCCGATCAATTAACCATGTATAAGTTTGTCATAGATATCGTCAATTCACTGAGAGAAGTCAAAACTTTTTGACCATCCTTTAGTGTTCTGTACAACTATTATTTTAAACCTGTAGAAAAAAATCTACTTATAGTTGTTCAATCTTAATCTAGAAGGAAATTTTGAACATATATTTGACAAGAGCAAAAAAATTCAGATTCTAACCGGCTATCTTTATGGCGACACCCTCTTTCTCTTTCCGAGGTTTTTGAAGAACGGCTTATTGGAAATACTTGAAACTTTTAAGTCGCAAAAACTAAAAATTGCGTCACTTTCTCAGCTGCAATACTTCCAATAGAACTAGAATTTTTATTACAAATGCGAGACATTGTTTGGAGTGCCTACTTTTTTTTAATCTCCTTCTATTCAAATAAAAAGATCAAAATACTGAACGTACGTCCAAAAGTACCTGTACTTTTTTTGTAAAACCAACGATACAATAATTTTTAAAACAAAAAAAATCAGGCACTCTAACGAGCGTCTAATACCTGTAGAAAACCCAGTTTCAGCTCGACCGAATATACTGTATCGGAGAAAAAAGAAAAACAAATATTCCTGTATGTATTACGACTTGTTTTTCTCCCAGTAAACTGATTGAAAATTGACGGTGTTAGAGGTTCGTGACCTATGTTCTCAGCGCCTTTAGAAATTATCACTAGGAGATTTTTGCATACAAAGAATAATCACAACGCGAGTTTTTCTACGAAGAATTTCGAGAGTTGGGTTTAATAAAAGTACTAGATAACAGAGATGTCCATTGCAGCTGAAAATCTGCCGCCGCCATCGCTACAGCGTCATTATGGACATCTCTGCTAGATAACAATGAAGAGCCCTTATTTATATAAAATTTGACAGAGAACACTTCAAAACTATATTATCAATCAAAAACCAAAAAATTGAAAAAATTTTTATTTTAACATCCGAAAAGGCAGAGTCTTCTTTAGTAGTCGAAAAATCAATGAATACTTTGTTCAAAAACTTTTATGTCATAAGTTATAATATATTTCAAATAGTCTTGTGTTTACACACTATTTTCAAGATCATAGTTCAATATTCCAATTTATAAAACAAACCTGTTGACTATAAGAACGTTTTGGTGTTTGTTTTGTTTGTAATCGAAGTAGATTTTGATAAAAAATTGTATTTGGTTCTATTATATAATTACAATAAGTTACTGGTGATTCGTGAAGATCTAATGTATGAAGACTTTCAAAAAGAGGATAACTAGAAAAAACAAAAAAACAAATTTTGTTTTTTGTTTTTAAATATTAAAAATTTATTTAAGTGTTTGTTTTTTTTCTCGAAATAAGATCTTTACTTTTCACTTTTAAGATCAATCATAACAAGATCATTTTCAAGTAAAACAATAATTGCTGACGGATCAGGTGTATCTAAAAGAAATAAAATATTATAAAAATTAATAAACAAATATTTAAAGAAATAAATTAACCAGCAATATGTGGAGATGCAGTTACAACATGAAAATCAACAATAGGATTGTCCATATGAAGTACATTAGTTGTTTGACCACGAAGAATAGTCAAAAAATGAGATGATGATTTAGGCGGTGGTGATGTATTAACAGTAGGATTAGTCGATAAAATTTGTTGTGGATCAGTTGAAGTTGGCATTCCACCAGAAAAAATAATAAATGTATCATTTCTATATATAAAATTTCATTAATTTTAATCTTATTTGTTTTTGTTATTTTAAAATACATACAAATTTTTAACAGAACTCCAAACAACTTTTGAGATTACATCAAATTTATGTGTTTCATCTTTTGAAATACGAGCTATGAAAAAAAACAAATTAGAAAAAATTTTTCTTATAAAAAATAATCTATTTCATTTTACTATGTGGATAATTAATGCTAACAGGTTTATCAATAGTTCGTAAATTCCAAACAGATAATGAACCATCACAATGTGAACACATAAATTGTCGACCTTCATAATGCCATGAAATAGATGTTAAACCCTAATAGAAAAAAAAGAATCTTTTTTTGTTTTATTTTCATCAAAATAAATAATCATATTACTTGTTGTAATGTATAAACATTTTCAGATGTTTTCTGTTGTAAATTCCAACATATAACATGTCCAACAGGTACATTATTTGGTGAAGATAAATGTGTACTGAAGCCAATATAGAGCTAAGATTTACAAAAAAAAAAA